ATGTTAATTTTATGAATTGAATGTTAATTGAATGAATTTGAATAAAAATTGGAGGAGATTGAATGTTACGTTGATGAATTAAATGTTTATTAGTTGAATTTTAATATTAATTTAATGAATTAAATGTTTATTAGGTAAAATTAAATGTAGATTTTAAGAATTGAATGTTAATTTGGTGTAAATTTGATGAATTAAATATTTATTAGATGAAATTGCATATTACTTTGATGTTGATTTGATAAATTGAATATTTATTAGATGATTTTGGATGTTAATTTGATAAATTAAGTGTTAATGAAATGAATTTGAATATAAATTTGAATAATTGAATCTTAATTTGGTGTTAATTTGATGAATTTAATATTAATTAGATGAGAATGAATGTTAAGTTGATGAACTAAATGTTTATTAGTTGAATTTTAATGTTAATTTGATGAATTAATTGTCTATTAGATAAAATTGAATGTTGATTTGAAGAATTCACTGTTAATTTGGTATAAATTTGATGAATATAATATTAATTTGATTAAATTACATGATTTGAATGTTCAATCATTTATTAGATGATTTTGGATCTTAAAATTGATAAATTAATATTTTAGGAACCATAAATATATATAACTTTAAGGATAAATGACGATCGGTCGTAGCTTAGAAATGAAGACTTACACTTTCATCCCTAAAATTATACATATTTATTAATTTAGTCCTTAAAATTATAATTTTTTAATTTAACCGTTAAAATATTTAATTTTGTGTTCAAATAGTCCTAGATAAACATTTAACATGCAAAATAATCCAATAAAATAATCCAATTAATATTCAACTCATTAAATTTACACTAAACTAACATTCAACTCTTCAAATCAAATTCAATTTCATCTAATAAACATTTAATTCATCAAATTAACATTCAAATTCAACAAATTACCATTCAATTCATCCAATTAATATTCAAATTCATTCAATTAACACTCAATTAATCTAACTAACATTCATTTATCAAATTAATATTTAATTCATCAAATTATTTGGTAAGTTATATGGTTACAAGTGGGTAACGTTGGTGTTACATTTTTTTTTAAGTTGTACAGTCTAAGTCATCAAATTAATATTTAATTCATCAAATTAACACTAAATCAATATTCAATTCATCCAATTAACACTCAATTTATCAAAATTAACATCCAAAATTATCCAATAAAAATTCAATTTATCAAATCAACACCAAAGTAATATGAAAATTAATCAAATAAATGTTTAATTCATTAACTCAACGCTAAATTAACATTACATTTCATCTAATAAACATTCAATTAATAAAATTAACATTTAAATTCAACTATTAACACTAATATATTGATAAATTGAATATATATTTGGATGAGTTGAATGTTAATTTAGTGTTAATTTGATAAATTAAAATTTAGTGTTGATTTAAAAAATTAAAAGTTTATTTGGTGTTAATTTGATGAATTGAATGTTAAATAGTTAATTTAAATGTTAATTTAATGAATTGAATGTTTATTATTCGAAATGAAATGTTAATTTGGTGTTGATTTGATGAATTAAATCTTTATTAGATAAGTTTTTTAATTTAATTTGATGAATTGAACGTTAATTTAATAAATTAAATATTAATTCATTGAATTGAATTTTAATTTGGTGTTAATATGATAAATTGAATATTTATTTGATAAAATAGGATTTTTATTTGGTATAAATTTGATGAATTGAATATTAATTTGGTATTAATTTAATGAATTAAATGTTTATTGGATGAAATTGTATGTTGCTTTGATGTTAATTTGTTAAATTGAACCTTTATTGGATGATTTTTTATGCTAATTTAAAAAATTAAGTGTTAATTTAATGAATTTGAATATAAATTAGATGAACTGAATGTTAATTTTGTGATAATTTTATGAATTGAATATTAATTGAGTGTGATTTAATGTTAAGTTGATGAATTAAATGTTTATGAGATGAAATTGAATGTTGATTTGAAGAATTGAATGTTAATTTGTTATTTATATAATGTTTATTTGATGAAATTGCATGTTACTTTGGTGTTAATTTGTTAAGTTGAATCTTTTTTGGAGGATTTTCAATCTTAATTTTAAATTGGATGAGATTGAATGCTACGTCGATGATTTTTAAATGTTTATTAGTTGAATTTTCATGCTAATTTAATGAATTAAATGTTTATGAGGTAGAATTAAATGTTGATTTGAAAAATTGAATGTTAATTTATTGTAAATTTGGTGAATTGAGTATTAATTGGATGAAATTGCATATTACTTTGATGTTGATTTAATAAATTGAATATTTATTGGATGATTTTGGATGTTAAGTGATAAAATAAGTGTTAATTAAATGAATTTGAATATAAATTAGATGAATTGAATCTTGATTTAGTATTAATTTGATGAGATTGAATATTAATTAACATCCAAAATCATTCAATAAATATTTAATTTATCAAATCAACATCAAAGTAACATGCAATTTTATCCAATTAATACTCAATTCTTCAAATTTACATCAAATTAACATTCAATTCTTCAAATCAACATTTAAGTTTACCTAATAAATATTTAATTCATTAAATTAACATTAAAATTCAACTAATAAACATTTAATTCTTCAACGTAATATTCAATCTCATGCAATTTATATTTAAATTCATTCAATTCATAAAATTAACGACAAAAATTCTCCAATAAATATTCAATTTAACAAATTAACACCAACGTAACATATAATTTTATCCAATAAATATTTTAATTTTCAAATAAATAACAAGTTAACATTCAATTCTTCAAATCAACGTTTAATTTCATATAATAAATATTTAATTCATCAACTTAACATTCAATCACATTCAATTAATATTCAATTCATCAAATTAACACAAAATTAACATTCAATTCATCTAATTTATATTTTTTTATCATCGTTTAATTTATATTCAAATTCATTAAATTAGCACTCAATTTATCAAATTAGCATAAAAAATCATCCAATAAATGTTCAATTTAACAAACCAACATCAAAGTAACATACAATTTCATTCAATAAACATTAAATTCATCAAATCAATACCAAATTAATATTCAATTCAACAAATTAACATTTAATATTCAATTCATCATATTAACACCAAATTCTAAACCAAACAAATACTTTGTTATGGTGAAAGGGGGAAGAGATGTACGGTAAAAAGAGATGGAGGGAAGGCAATAGAAGTGAAAAATGGTTTGGCGTAGGAAAAAATATGGAGGGAAGGCAAGAGAAGTGAAAAATGGTTTGGGCAAAAAATTGGGTGGAAGGAGAAGATAAGGTTTTTGTGATTTGTGGACCACAATATAAACTGAAAAATAAAAAAAAATAATGTATTATAATTTGTGGGGTGTAAATGTAATTTATAACTGAAAGAATTAAGACTGGCCGAAGAAATGGACGACCGATCGAGGGTTAATATCGCACTTTTAGCCCTTAACTATCAAGCTTTTATCCCTTAAATAATCAAAACATTTCTATTGCAGTCAAAAAATATTTAATATTTTTTAAATATACCCATTTTTTATTAACAAAAAAAAAATAATGAATAAAATCAAATAATTAAAAGAATTGTAAATAATGCTTCCATCGGGTAGCGGTATAACTTTTTTGGATTTTGTTCCAATTTTTGGGGATACTGGGATTAACTAGATTACAATTGTTTTGGTGAGATTTAAACTATTTTGAATCGTATTATAAGTTTTTTGAGATGAGGTTTAATTTTTTAGGATTGGATTATATTTATTTTGGGTGGTTTTAACTTTTTTGGGATAGGAGTTCCAACTCTTTGGGGAGGGGTTCCAACTTTTTTGGGTAAGGGTTCCAACCTTTTGGATAGAGATTCCAACTTTTTTAGGTAGAGGTTCTAACTCTTGGAGGGAGGGGATCCAAATTTTTTGGATAGGGGTTCCAACCTTTTGGGTAGACGTTCCAACTCTTGGGGGGAGGGGTTTCAATTTTTTTAGGTAAGGGTTCCAACTGTTGGGGGAAAGGGTTCCAACTTTTTTGAGTAGTGGTTTCAATAACCTTTTGGGTAGAGGTTCTAATTCTTGAAGGGAGAGGTTCCAACTTTTTTTGGTAGAGGTTCCAACTCTTTGGAGGAGGGGTTCCAACTTTTTTGGGTTAGGGTCTCAACTCTTGGGGAGAGAGGTTTCAACTTTTTTGAATANTCTTTGGAGGAGGGGTTCCAACTTTTTTGGGTTAGGGTCTCAACTCTTGGGGAGAGAGGTTTCAACTTTTTTGAATAGGGGTTCCAACCATTTGGGTAGAGGTTCCAACTTTTTTGAGTAGGGGTTCTAACTTTTTTTGTTAGGAGTTCCAACCTTTTGGGGGGAGGGGTTCCAATTTTTTTGGGTAGAGGTTTCAACTTTTTGGATAGAGGTTCCAACTCTTGGGGTAAGAGTTCCAACTTTTTAGATAGGGGTTCCAACTCTTGAGAGGAGGGGTTCCAACTTTTTTGGGTATGGGTTCCAACCATTTGGGTAGAGGTTCCAACTCTTGGGGGAGGGGTTTCAACTTTTTTTGGGTTGAATTCCAATTTTTTTGATACGAGTTTTAACTATTTTTATGGTTCAACACTATACCGGTGAAACTGGTTTAACAAGCCACGTGTAAAACAGGTAAGCGAACTTACTTTTTTGTGTTAATTTGATGAATTGACTGTTAGTTTGATGTTGATTTAAAGAATTGAATGTTAATTTGGTATTAATTTGATGAATTGAATGTTAAATAGTTAA